TTTTTTTCTTTTTCTTTTTCTTCTTCGTTTTCCTTTTTTTGGTTTCCTCCCTTTGGTGGGGGTAGTGGATGACGTAATAGCTGAACACTGCTTCTTTCGTTTGTACTCTTTCCTTTCGTTTCCCTCCCGTTTATTCCAAGACTACCACTGAACACAGGGTATGATTCACTCGTTTTAGTTGTGCTCTTGATTTCTTTCTTTTCCCCTTTTTCTCATGAATTACAAAATATATAATCCCTACACAGTCATTTATTTTTTGGTACTGTAGATATTCAATACAGCATCTTCTGTTTCTTATGCCTTCCGTCATTATGACCAGTTAAATTCCTTAGGTTTCCATGGATCAACTATTCTGTGGAGTTGATGAATAACATTCACTTGTTCCTATCAATCCCATGTGCAGAATATTCCTACTGCAATACATCATCTTTTCTCAATAGTGGTCAGAAAGTTTTACATGAAGTCATCGCTGGCCGATTGCATCCATTTAAGTGGATGACTAACCCTGTGGCAACAAATCACTATCTCCATACAGAGTCACTACTCAGTAACGTATATATAGGCCTAATTCCTCACAGGTCCTTCCTACTGCAGGTTATCTGCCACCCAAATATTTAAGTACCGTAAATCCCATCTCAGTATTGCGACAACTTGATATGTTCTGCCTCTCATATGTCTCAATTCCTTATAAGCCTCTATTCCTAATTTGGAACAACAATAAAGTAATTCGACTACCCGACGTGTTCTAATTGACGGATAGTATATATAGGTCGTCGACCACGCTTGCCCTCTCTAGTTTGAGTACACTACACCCCAATCCTGACATGCGACTTGCATGTCTACTTACTGGAGTTGCCTTAGGAATCAATACGTGATTGACTCTTGAACAGTATTGTGACATCCTCTTTACTTGGCTTCAACTCAGAATTTCGGATAATCTCAGATTGACTCTAGTATACTTACTTTATAACACCCCACCCTTCAAGTTTGACAGGAAATCGTACGAATTCAGTAGCATGTTTATTATGACATTCCCAAAAAGGAAAAGGTCGTCACGGGAGCAGCGCCGCTGATCCCCAAACCTCATAGCCAATCAGCGATCACTAGCTCCAGGGAAAGTTAATGTGAATCTGCTCCCCTTGCGACTCGAGCACTACAAACAATTGCTGCAACTATTTAAAGCTCCCCTTGTTGTGTTCCCCTATCTTAACATTAATTCACTTCTTACCAGGTTACATTATATCTGCTCCACGCATCAGCTCCATATCCTCGTCATCCTCTCTGAACAAGCACCTCAATCTTACTATCCATTATGGACAATAACCAAGCCACCACCCTGGGCAATGCTGCTGCCGCTACCGCACCTGACACCGCGGCGTTGGACAAAGGCAAGCACAAGGCTACGCAGGATTCTACCTCGATGGATGTGAGCATGGACGAAGGTGAAAGCGATGAGAGTGAAAATGAAGACATTGTAAGTCTACGAGACCCTCTACACTCAAATCAAGACACTCGACCTGACTGTTTCTCCTTTCATAGATGGAAGGTAACAACTGAAATTTTCCTCGAGGCTTAGTCCGCTTCGCCTGCGTTAACATTGAAACATATATTGACCCTGTCTTACCATGCAGAAGAAGATGATGATGACGAAGATAAACTCGAGCCAATCTCAGCCGACAACATTATTCGTGGCGAGCGAAGGACACGCGGCAAGATCATCGACTTCCAGAAAGCCGCAGAAAAGCTCAAGGTTGATGAGGGTGACGATGATGAAGATGATGAGGACTTTACACTTGAAGATAATGACAACAACATGCGAGATTAAATCAGATTGCCTTACGGCTCACACAATCTTCTTGGAAAAAGGGGTAGTGACCGGCGCCGGTCTATTGGCGTCTCGATAAATTTTCTGTTCTGACTCGGATAGCTGTCACGTCAACCACAATGTGTTCTTCCCGCCCCCGCTTTTTTTAAGCTTCGTTCTCCAAATGGCTGCAACATATATAAGACAGGATGTAGCAATTGATACCTAATGACTACTATCCCTGTCTTGGCTCCTCTATTATACGGATCACTTGCTTGAGTGTTTACCAATCATGCTCAGTTTCTTCGACAGGATTGGGTTACAGACCTTAGGTGCACAGGACCGACCACAGAGGGCGACTGTGAAAGGCATATCCTTCGGTTTGCATGGTAGACGTTCTCCTGGGCTGCTCATGCCGGTCTAATAGCACCTCATACGAGATAGGTTAGTTTCGACAAAACACGGCATAGTATTGTGTTCTGCTGGGGTGAGCAAAGGCTGTGGTATAACAGGGCATACTCCTATAGCGAGGTTGACCCTATAGTAAACAACATAGTTCAATCCTTGTTTAGGGCAGACCCATGGCCGACTGACTATATAGAGAAGCGGTTGTAGATCATTGTATCGTTGCATGGAATTATAAATAGAACCTACTTTTCACCAACATAGCATTTTAGTCAATCACACTTTCCAACAATATCACCGCTAGTTAGTAGTGCCAACAGTACTCGTAGGATGTAGGTATGTTTTGAACTTGGTACTACTAGTGGTCTGTAAAGTGTTGAAGTGGTCAGAGAGCACCTTTCCCGAATAGGAAGGCTATTCTGTTTACGGTAACCCGTCGTCACTCCCGATCCAAGAAAAGGCAAGGAAATAATGGGGTACTCCGTACTCCGTACTTGTCTATTGATTGCCGCAACCAGACCGCAGCAGCCTTCAACCACGGGGTCGGGTTTATTCAGATAACAACAACGAAAGCTTTGGTGTGTCACTCTACGCGATGCTGGCCAACTAGAATCTGGGAAATACCCTATTCATGGTACCAGCCTCCTAAAATTTCTTGCAACAGGGTTGGACTTGTCTACTCACTTTCTGTCATGGCTTCTCGGTAAATTGATCGTGATCCTCCTCATTTCCTTTGGCTAACTATTTATGGCATAAAACCTCAGATTCACACGCTCCAACCTTCACCAGCGTGATCCTCGCGCATCGGCTTCCCTCTTTGATTCATATGGCGGCGATTCCAGACCTGTCAGTAGGTCGCCCGGCCGAGTGGGTGGTTATGGCTATGGAGGATATACCAGCAATGGGTCGATTAATGAAACCCCTGTCGGAAGTGGATACAGGGCTGCGACACCAAACGCGAAGTAGGCTTCAACGAGAAACTATTGATCGTAATGGAGCATAATCCTAATGCCGAAACAGGGGCCACTACTCCGATGCAGTTTTATCTCATCTAGAGTCGCAGAATGATGCCGAGGTAGAAGGTATCAGCGCAAAAGTTAAGATGCTGAAAGATGTAGTCTCCCTATCCCCTCATCTGGTTGGGTACGTACATTTGGGTGCTGATATTGAGTCTAGCTTACACTTGCTATTGGCGAGGAAATTCGGGATACTTCGACCATTACAGAACTTAATGATACATTTGACAACACTCGTCTTCGTATACGAGGCAACATGAGTCGCATGCTGCGGATGGCTGAGCGGACAGGCGTCGGCTGGCGTGTATGGCTGGCTTTCTTCCTGGCTGTATTCCTACTCTTTGCTTATGTGTGGATGAGTTGAACGGTCCGGTTATGGCTCTCTGCGAGGGCTCATGAATGCTCAACTCACCCTGTCTCCTCTGTGGCGACTGACGCATCATTACTCTGATAATTTGTTGTCCCAACTTATGCTCCTCGCCTCGCTGACAAAGATCATGAACCCATCCGAACTGAATAAATTACTAATGAATTCCTTGCTAATATATCTGATGATTGACAAACGAGCATGCCTTCTTGACTGTGTGTCCACCCTACATCCACCCCCCTCCCCTCCCAAAAAATCTTTTTCTTTCTCGGTTCTCGCATACTTCTCCGTTATGACCGCCAAGGATGGATGGTGCTCAGTGATGTTGTGACTGTCGAATCTTGACCTCGATCTTCCATTTCATTCTTTTCTTCTTTCTTCTTTACTTTTTACGAGCAGCTTCAAGTTATATCTCTTGTACTGGGATGGTGGCTCTCATATTCGTTACCTTTATCATGATAATGCATGCGTGGAGTTCAGGCTAATATGCTTTGTCTAGTCTGGCTGTCTTTTTCTAATGTACTATTTTGTATGTATATAAAATAGCTACTTGGTGACTGATATAAAAAGGATACTACTTTAACGGAATCCATCCTCTTTTCATTTGCAAATTCCCTGTCGGAGTGGGATGAATATTTTCTACAGATGAAAACAGGGGCTGTCTCTACAATAGAATCAGGTATACTGTCCGCCTTGGATGAGCAGCACCGTATTCACTCTCGATCATATAAGGCACTGGCCAGTCTACGAAAGACGTCCCTGAAGGGTACCAGGGCTTAAATAAGATACGTGCTTGGATATATAGCCAAGGGAGTAACTGTTCTTAAGGTGCTCAATATGCCCAAGTCATCCGCAACGACAGTGCAACAGGTAAGTCTACTGAATAGTCTATCGATAGAAAGCCAGCCAAAGGTATTAAACACTCCAAACACGGCTTGGCGTCACCAGTGCCAAAATTTTCTTGTATTGAACACCAACCCTACAATCTGTGACTTGTGCCTGCATCCAGTACGCCATACAACCCTAAAAGATAGCCCAAGTATAGATAGGTTCGTCAATATATAGGATCGTTGACCTAGCCATCAGTTAGACTTAGTCAAAACTATCCCTAGGTCCCCCAGCTCGCCGTCTGGGAAATCTGCTGAAAAAGCTTCGCCGACTACCTTGACTAGTAATAGATGCACGTAGATCATCTTCATCAATCATCATGCCGCTTGTGTCGATGACATCGCCGCCGCCACTCCAACGCTGGAGGAATCGGCGTTGGGCCTCTGTCTCCTGAGCGCGAACAGGTGTTGGAGGTAGACCACGACTGCTGGTTGTACTGGCTCGGAGATTTTGCGTAAATGGATCATGTGAGAAACTGGCCTCATCTTCGTCATCCAACTCGGCATCTGTATCGGTATGTTGCCATTCATCTTCTTGTTCGGACTGGTTCTCTGCAGCCTCAGGGATATCATCGTCTAAATCGCGGCCCATTTCTTCCTCACTCATGTCTTCAGCACTGGGAATATCATCATCCAGGTCTGGCTGGTTATCAAAATCATCATCGATTTGATCGTCGTCATCGTCATCATCAGGGAACGCCTCAGGGATATCATCGTCCAGATCCCGTTCCATGTACCCCTCCTCGTCAACAACATCATCCTCATCCAGACCCTCCTCTCCTTCCTCAACGAGACCCTCTGCATCTGCGTCAGGAATTTCATCGTCCAAGTCCCTCTCCATTCCTGTGTCATCTTGTCCATCACCATGCTGTGGATTGAGCCCATCTATCCCAGCAGCTTCCGCTTCAGCATCAGCTACCGCAGCGGCCGCTGCCATCTCTGCAGTTGCCGCAGCTAGTGCTTCTTCCCTCTCCGCCTCTTCCTCTTTCATGCCCAGCATAGTCTTGGTGCATCCTGCAGGCTTGATCCACGAGTAACCGAATGAGGCGATGTTGTTCTTGCGAGCACGGAGCGCACGCTCTTCGAGGACTAATGACGATAAGGTATTACCGGGAGTGGAGGAGGTGACAAACGGACGTCCATTCATGGGATTGTTCGCATTGCGGCGGAGGTTTCCTTGCATTTCTCCATTTGTTCGGTGTTGGGACGAGGTACGGTAGGGTTGGGAGAATCCGAACCAGAGTTCATGAGACTTAGCGGATATAATAAAGATATGTCAGTTATACATCCCGCTATCCCCAGATGTGTTTTGGGGAGGTCACGTACATCGCGGGGTGTGATGGGCGGTAGGGAGAGCATCATGGCTGGTTGAACCGCGATCAGACTCGGACAATATACCGCCTGAATTGCAACGCTCTTTATTGTTATCCAAGTTTTATATTATTCTTTCCGCTAGATTGTAACTGCGCTTAGATCTTTCGTATGCAGCGCAACAGAATACGCGGCTGCTTCTGTACGCGCGCCGATTACTGTTCTCAAGAGCCACCTCTCCCTGTGATGTTCAAAATCAATTGACCTGAACCGCAAGCCATGCAATTTCTTAACCCCCCAAAAAAGATGAAACGGTGTTAAAGAGTGTTGAAGGTAATTCAAAATGAACTTGCGGTGGGAATCCCATTCGGTAGTCACGAGGGGAATGATCGGAGAAAACAATTAGACCAGCTTAAGCTCCGCGGCAACGTGGGGAAATCCATCAAGTCGATCATTATACCTTAAATCCGCCTTGGGTTGGTTCTCTCAAACATGATCTTATGTGAAGTAACCCTCTTCTTTAGCGCTTTGTTTTACCCATCCTTTTTTCAATTTTGTTTCTTCTTTTCTTCCTTTATTATCTTAGATATATATGTATATTTAGTTCACTAGGATGTCCCTTACTTCCTATAGGGTATTATCTCTTTCTCATTCCTTCTCCGCTTGCTGCCTCACTATTCTCACATTTGAAAGCTTGTAATGATAGCAATACGTACGACTATGTACTACCCATAAACCCTACATGGGGAGGAATCTGGTAGTCATGGATGGCCGGAAAAGTACCGCTGATAATCTGAAGGTAGTCACCACACTTAGTTCATGCAAGTCCATCAGATTGCGACTCATGGAGAGGTTGATAACAAAAGCACACCCAAGCATTATAGCTATAGCTATAACATATCTACCCCAAATATGTGGCTCCACCAATGCGCCACTGTAAATCTAACGTGCCTATGATATCCGCGACGTAAATGTCTTGAAGTTCTAGCGCTAGAAAGAAGAAGTACTCCTCAGTTCTGACAATGGGAGTTGAGA